AAGAAATAGAAAAATAAAAAGTTCATAAAGCGCAATATTAAGGTATCGAACTTATACATAAAAAATATGAAGAAAATAAAAAATTCACAAAGCTTTAAACGAAAAAGGAAGAAAAAAAAGGTTAAAACTTTAAGAGTTTTTAGCGCAAATGTATAAATTAACCTAGAAGAAGGGAGATGAGTAGAAGAGAGATCAAGCAATTTTATAGTTAATTTGTAGACCAAAAAAACTAATATATTATTTTATTTTAGGGTAAATATCCTAAAACTAACATAATATATATATATATCATATGTAATATACAACTAGAATAGATAAAAATGGAGTGGCAGCGAGGACCACACTGATCTCATACTGGCTCTACTCTTGCCTACAGTAGATGTTGTGGAAGGTAGATTCTTATTTTATCTTTTCCTTTTTCTCTTATATATGGTGACATTGATGTACTCTGTTGGTGTTTTGTGTATAACAGTACATAACACACCACCTGCATAGTTCGATCATAATTGAAATTGTTTGAAAACAAGTTTTGAGGCTATATTTGTTGTCAACGAATTTTCAATATTGCAGATAATTGGAAAAGAAAATTGTTCCAAAGGGAATCGAGTTCTACTACATATTCAGTATAAGATTTGAGTATTTTTAGATATTTTCTTTTTTATCAATGAGGTTAAGGAATTCGATGGGTGAGTATTTCAGGTTGTGGATATATAGATTGATCTCTTCACACAAGAACGCTAGAAAGCAAAAAACACACTATCAACATGCAAATATGCAATGGTTACTCCCCATTCTCTGGTAATTTGCCAACCCCAACAAAGTCTATCCCTCCACTTGTCTCTCTCTCTCTCTCTGATGTGGGATCACATCACATCACGAGGAGAAAGAAGGAGCAGAGGGTGCCGGTTATCGAGGTTGAGTGACTGTCAAGTGGGGTTTGGCAACTACTAGGGTTTTTTTTTTCTTCTTTATTCAAACTCTTCTTTTTTTGTATTTTCTTTATATAGTTAAAATATAGGACGAAAGAGGAGATTGATTGGATGAAATTCTTCATGGTGGATCAAGTCAGCAGGAGAGGGTTATATTTAAACCTTCCCTAAAGACAAAATCCCTCCTACAAAAAGTCAAACAATATAGGTAGAATATTTTCAGATGTATTTCATTCTCCGAAAGGATGTATTTATAATACAAAATTACAAACCCTAGTAGGGTTATACTAGGAAATAAGAAAATTCATAATTACATAATATCTATACAAAAAGGAAATAAATAAAATCCTAATAGAATAAGAAAGAAATATCCTAATATGACTAGAATATCTCGCTAACACTCTCCCTCAAGTTGGAGCAAAGACGTCACACATGCTCTACTTGTCAAGCGAGTTGTAGAAGATACTAGTAGAAACAGTCTTCGTAAGGACATCAGCTAACTGATACTCAGAACTGATGAATGGGAAAGAAACAATCTTCGTATCCAACTTTTCTTTAATGAAATTTCGATCAACCTCCACATGCTTTGTACAATCATGTTGTACAGGGTTATGAGCAATTGCAATCGTAGCCTTATTATCGCAATATAAATCCATTGGTTTCTTAGACCCAAAGCCAATATCTCTCAATAATCTCCTCAACCACAGTAACAAGATTAACACCAACAAACATAAAATACCCAGACATAGAATGCCTATCAGTAGCTGAACCTGCCCAATCAGCATCTGTGTATCCTTTCACATCTGTATGACCATACTTGGAAAACATTAACCCATTGCTAGGAGTTACTTTGAGATATCAAAATACATGTCATAGCTCCCATATGGTCTTCACTAGGTGAGTGCATAAACTGACTCACTACACTTACTGCATACGCAATGTCAAAACGTGTATGAGCTAAATAAATTAATTTCCCCACAAGTCGTTGATAGCGCTCCTTATTAGTATGAACTTGATCAAGTTATAACCCCAACTTGTGATTCTGTTCACTAGGAGTATCAATTGGTTTACAATCCAACATTCCAGTTTCTGCAAGTAAATCTAAAACGTACTTCCTTTGAGACTGTTTGGGCCAAAAATTGACACATCCAGCCCAAGGCCCATCAGAACAAACAAGGCTGATTTGGGCCTCACAGGCCCAACATAATAGGAAGAAGGAGTCCAGACCAGAAGAGGGAACAATCCCACATGGCAACCTCTGGGATAAAAAGTCAGCAATGGCGGAAGTCAGCAGGGATGAAAAGTCAGCAATAGCAACTTCTGGGATAAAAAGTCAGCAATGGCAACTGCCATAAAATGAGTGACTGAAGGGTTCGTGACATCAAGAAGAACTGAAGATTAAATCCCCCTTATATATGTATATACAGAGATTTTTCCTGTCTTTACAGAGAAGGTAATTCTCCCAAGATAGATAAGCAAGTTACAATCTCAGAGAGGGATAAGCAGGAAAGCAGGGAGCTGTCCAGAAAAAGAATCAAACTAACCATCACGGGTAAAATATCACAAGGGGCAGCTGAAAAACAGGGAAGTGATCACCTATCTGAGAGCCTATCTGCCAGAATTGAAGAAGAAGAGGAAAAGGGGGGAAAATATCTTTGCCGCCCAATAAAAAACACAATCACCCTACTCCAGAGAAGAAACAGTTTTTCTATAAATACAAGAAGGAGTGAACAGGGTAGAGGACACTCAAAAAACCAAAAAATCAATCAAAAACAAAAACTCAAAATGACTTCAAAACACTGAAGCAACCAAAGCTCATTGAGCCAAGACACTTCTGCCTAAAAACAGTTTAAATTCCATCAGTTCTGCCTAAAAACAGTTTAAATTCCATCAGTTCTGCCTAAAAACAGTTTAAATTCCATCAGTTCTGCCTAAAAACAGTTTAAATTCCATCAGTTCTGCCTAAAAACAGTTTAAATTCCATCAGTTCTGCCTAAAAACAGTTTAAATTCCATCAGTTCTGCCTAAAAACAGTTTAAATTCCATCAGTTCTGCCTAAAAACAGTTTAAATTCCATCAGTTCTGCCTAAAAACAGTTTAAATTCCATCAGTTCTGCCTAAAAACAGTTTAAATTCCATCAGTTCTGCCTGAAACAGTTTAAATTCCATCAACCATTCTGGCCAGAACAGCCTGTTTATACTGAGATAAATTGTTAAAGTCCTCACCCGTCTGAGGCAAGAAAAGAACTTACTTGGGAGATATTCCTCACCCAAATTCACAATCGTTTGTTTGCAGAAATCAGTAACTTGGGGCGCAAGTTATTTACTCCAAACTAAGTCTGCTAGAATTTTTATTGCTAGCAGTGGCACGCTCGCACACCAAAGAAAACTGACTTGTCGACCAGTTTATGGTTCTCAAGGCAGTGGGGAACTTTGCCCTTCCATCACAGGAGTAAACGCAAAACGGGCAAACAGAGACAAGAAAATATCATGCTTAGATCTAGCCACTTCAATCCCGAGAAAGTACTTCAAGTCACCTAATGATTTCATCTCAAATTCAGACGCTAGATATTTCTAGAGACTATGTATTTCTGTCTGATCATCTCCAGTTACAATCATATCATCAGTATAAATTATTAAAGCTGTCAATTTACCTTTGCGACGCTTCATAAACAAAGTATGATCTGAATTACTTTGTACATACCAAGACTTCCTCATAGATGCAGCAAACCTCCCAAACCAAGCTCTTGAAGACTGCTTAATCCATATAAGGATTTTCGTAGTTTGCATACCATACCCTCCTTAGAGGTCACAGGGATACCCGGCAGTGGGTCCATGTATATTTCTTCCTTGAAGTCACCATGGAGGAATATATTTTTGACATCAAATTGTAACAGAGGCCAATCATAATTAGCAACCAAGGACAAGAGTACGAGTACAGTATTGAGCTTTGCTACTGGAGCAAAGGTCTCCCTGTAATTCACTCCATATGGTAAGGTGTTTTTGTGGAATCCGGCAATTCAGGAATCCAAGCTTCTTCCCTCGCAAAAACACCTTCTCTATAAAAAGCTCCTAATCCAGCAGGATCCCATATACCTACCAACATCGAGTCGGCTCAGAAGTGGCATGGGATTTGGCTATGATCCTATATCTAAAGCTTACAAAGTTGTTAACATTATGTTTTCTTGGTCTCAAACGCATGCTCATACAAAATATTTTGTGGTTATATATCCTCTGAGAGCAAAATTGTACACGTTGGGAACTAGTCAAGATTCTTCTTGTTGGAGAGAGATCAAGACTTACTCTTTAGAAACAGAAACTATTGTCCTTTGGCCTGAAAGTTTCCAGATATACTTGAAGAGGATGTGTTATTGGTTGGGAACTGAGCAACAAAAGGAATTCGTGGATGACGAGGAAACTCGATATGAAGAAATGATTAGGCAAGTGATGGTTTCGTTTGACATGAGTGGTAAGGTGTTCGATGAGGTAGCGTTACCAGATGAGCTTCTAGACCATGATATAAGTATGAGATTAAGAGAGAGGATGAAAGGGAGGAGTAACAAAAGTGAAAAAAATTTAATCTCATCTTTCCTCTCAATCCCATCTCCACACTATTCTCACTCTTTTTTCTCTATAGATTCCAGCACCAACAAAAAAAATAAAAATAAAATAAAAACATAAAATTGAAATTGTTATCAAACGGGCCCTTAAATTGTCAGTTCAGTTTGAGAACAACAAATACGGACTTAGTATTGCATTTCTCTCTCTCTCTCATCCTTTGATCAAGCCTTAATTTTGCTTCTTCCCATTTTATATTTGCTATGTTCCTTTTCCTACTGCTGCTAACTAACCTAACTATATATATCTAGTTTTTTTTTTGTTTTTAATATTTAATTTTGTCTGGTAATTTATTTTTTGAATAACAAATTCCAGCGTTAGGTTGAAGAACACATGTCAAGCAGAGACATAGGGGAACACCAATTTTGGAGAGAACAGATCCGGAATCACTGCTGCATTTCTCTCTCTATCTCTCTCTCTCATCCCATGATCAAACCTTAAATTTGCTTCTTTCCATTGTATATTTGCTATGTTCTTCTTCCCACTCATTATAAGGTAACTATATATACCTATTTTTCTCTGTATTGTTTAATATGGTTTGGTATACTTTAATCCCTTTTAATATTTGTTATTCTGAACACGATGTTAATCGAACTTTCTCTGTGGATTACACTTTAGAAAGTCTTACGTTGTTTTTACTCTTTGATTTATATATAATACAGATATGATAATTTTTCCTTATGTTTAACCTGGGTGTTGTTTTGTTATTTCCGGTTTGTGTGTGCAAAAGAAGAAGAGGTAGAAGACGGGAAGGGTTGAGACATATATATATACTGAAATAATGGCACACAGTTGCAAAATTGGGGAAGATTTATTGGTAAAAATTCTATCAAGTCTACCTCCAAAATCCCTTATGCGATTCAAGTGCGCGGCCAAATGGTGGTATGCGTTGATCAACAATCCCAGGTTCGTAGACAATCAACTCTCCAATTGCTTGCACAACAATCGATCAATCTTTTTGAAGCGATTACTCCCTAATAAGGACTTGAATGCTAGCGAGACCGAATCAGTGTTCTCAGTGCTTACTTTTTGCGAGGATGCAGATGGTGGTGCGCATAGGTTTCTATTGTCTAGGGTGGAGGACATCAATGTTCCAGTTTCTATGAGTGTAATGAGTGGTGGTGAAGAACTTAGAATTGTAGGCCATTGTCATGGAATCATTTGTGTACACGTAGATAATTATAGTAAGGTGTTTGTGTGGAATCCGGCAATTCAGGAATTCAAGCTTCTTCCCTCAGAGAAATACTTTACGGATTGGGAGTCCCTAGATCAGCAGCGTGCCCCGTATCTACCATTAAATAATCGGCTCGAATGGGCCATGGGATTTGGCTATGATCCTATATCTAAAGCTTATAAAGTTGTTAGCATTATATTTTATGGTTCGCAAAGGCATGCTCATACATTATATTCTGTGGTTATTTATCCTCTGAGAGTACAAGTGTACACGCTGGGAAGTAGTGAAGAATCTTCTTCTTGGAGAGAGATCAAGACTTGCTCTTTGGAAACAGAAACTACTTTCCTTTGGCCTGAAATTTTCCAGATACACTTGAAGGGGATGTGTTATTGGTTGGGATCTGAGCAACAAAAGGAATTCGTGGATGAGGAGGAACTTCGATATGAAGAAATGATTAGGCAAGTGATGGTTTCGTTTGACATGAGCGATGAGGTGTTTGATGAGGTAACGTTACCAGATGAGCTGCTAGACCATGAAAGAACTTTTTTAGGGCTTTTCATGCTGCTTACAGTGTGGAATGAATCTTCCATTGCTCTTTGTGTTTGGCATAACAGTTGTGATGTTAGTCCATACTTCGGAATGTGGCTGTTGGATAATGATTTTGGTGCTTGTGTTTGGACAAAACACGCAGGTTTTTGAGCTCACATCGTTCCCCATAATGGACCTCAGGGAGGGCGGCGGATATGTATTGGCACTCTGGAAAAGCGATGAGCTTCTTGTGGTTGAC